TGCACCGGGCAGGCCCCCGCCGGTGCCCGCTGTCGCGCGCTCCAGAGCCCCGAAGGCCGCGCTGTCCCCAGGAAGGGGCAGCGCTGAGCGGGGCGGGGCCGCCTCCCTGCCGGCGAGTGTGCCTCGGAGGGGCCGTTTCCCCTTGGGTCTGTGCGTGTGCGTGCGCGTGCGCGAGTGTGTGCGTGCGTGTGAGTGCGGCGCGCGCGCAGGGCAGGGCACGAGGCGCTGCGGGTGCTCTGGTGCAAGCGTATCCTTCTCCGCCTTGGGATCTAAGCCTGCGACCGTAGAGCTTATGATTCCCGCCCCGTCTCCCCCACCCCGGTCCCCTGCACATGCGTCTCCCTCTGTCGTCTGTCTTCCCATCTGATTCCCTTGTGGTCCGGGGATATTCATGGACACCCTGACCCACGTGAGCCAGGGCAAGGCTGAAAAGGACAATGTTAGCTGAGAAATACCACCGAGAGCATTTCCGTCATCCAGCCTGCTCTTTAGACTGAATTTCACGCACCGGGAAGCCACGTTTCAGGGACTTGTGCATCTGCTTTCTCTCTGTCTTGGCCTTAAAAATTGCTGCAAGGAGTTTGTTTTTATTTTTGGGCGGATAGGAAGGAGGCGGGAACCAACCGCAAACCACTTTGGGGCGGCTCTTTGGCTGACCAGTTGTGGTCCTGTTGTGCGCCTTTGCAACTGACTGGCTCCTTTCCAGGGATGGGAAGTCGAGGGGGGAGGGAGGGAGTAAAGACACCCACACCTTTTCAATTCTGAAATAATGAGTCCCCTTTCCTCCAGTCTGTGATTTCCATAATTTCATACAAAACAGAGGCTGTCAATTATTTCTCCGTAAGAAAAGAGAAAACAGACTAGAAGAAGAAAACTTGGGCCAAATTAAATTCCTCCTGTTTGAAACATTAACCAGGGACTCCCTCCCTCCCCTGTCCCATCAAGTTTGTTCAATTCTCAAGGGGAAACAGGGCAGGGAAATTCAGAAGGCCAAACATTGCTTTGCTTTGCTGAGGCCGTGAATCCAGTTGCCTAACTGTATTTTTGATACCTTGAGGTTCAGAGGATTCTAAAAAACTTTATACATGCTTTTAGTTGTCCTCTTTTTGCCTTAATGTTTGTATTAGGGTTTTCAATAATTTGGAAATACCTGTTGTATGTATTTTTTCTTTAACTTATTAACATGAGATGGTTTTACTCTTAGCCATTACTCTTTATAAGACCCCGTGTCCTAGAGAAAGGCCCAAAGTAACATTTAAAAACACTCACTAGCTACCCCAGGTCCTCACCAGCCAGTATCTTGATCCAATATCAATCATTTCTTTTCATGAGATAATTTATAGACAACTAAATTTTAACAAAGAATGTTAATAGCAAATGTTAGTGCTTAATAGGTGAGCTTTTGTTTTTAGAATCAAAGTTTAGCTTTTTTTTTCAATTATGTATCAAGCTGTTGGCCGTAGGCCTTCCTAAGAGAAGGGGAAAGTTAGGTGAGGGTATCACTTTTATTTAAAGCATATGTTGACATAAAAACTTAAAACTAGCCTTTTGGAAAATAGGAAATAACTATGGCTATAAACACCCACCTTCGGGACTGTGAAAAACAAAAAACAGGAAAGCAATCTAATTACTTTAGTAGAAAACAGTACTCATTTAACAGTTAACTAAAATATTGTATGGCAATTCTTGGAAGCTCCTCCTCCTCCTTAAGTATAGTACAGTTTGGTAATATACTACGCATATTTATACATGATGTAAATATACATATGCACAAGGGTAGATGTTTATGTACATAACATAACAAAATATATACATACCCCAACTGAATACATTTGCATATAACATGCCCATGTGTAATACACCAAACTTCTAAGATTAACAATACATTCTATAACATAGTCTGACAATAAGGGAAAGTGAGTAAATCTCATTCATATTTAAAAAAATTTTTAAATTTCTTTTGAAATCTAGATTGTGCTAACTGTAGATAACACCACAAAAATCAGTAAATAATAGATTCCTTCTAAGATTAACAATACATTCTATAACATAGTCTGACAATAAGGGAAAGTGAGTAAATCTTATTCATATTGAAAAAATTTTTTAAATTTCTTTTGAAATCTAGATTGTGCTAACTGTAGATAACACCACAAAAATCAGTAAATAATAGATTTATAATATTAAAACTTTAAGCACACCGCATTTAAAATTACTATGAACTTCAATAAGTTGTTTTACGTAAAATAAAAAGGGCAGCATACTTTAAAATGCACATGTAAAGTATAACCATTCTATCTAAAGTCAGGTACATATTTTTTTCTATTTTTTTATACATTAAGTACTGTCATCTTAGAACAAGAATTAAGTTCTGAATGCATTGAAAAAGAGCAGCAGTTTTATTTTCCGTTTGACTGTACTGTAAAGAAAACATTTCGAGCTAATTAATTTTGTGGGCCTCTGTGTGCATTAAAAGACATTTGATAGTCTAGTAATAATTCAAAATGTAAAAGAAAATTTGAAGCATACATTTATACTTGAGATGATTTGTGTAATATGGGATATTGACATGTTACTTACTTGCTTCAAGTAGTATTTTGAATCTCTGGATTTTCAAAGGCCTTTTTTGGTTAAAATAAAAAATACAGTTAAAGTGAATACATTGGCATTCATTGGCTAGAGTCCAATCGTTCATTTGTCCTGAGAAGATGTAAAGAAATGTCATACCTGAATTTTATAGTTTAAAAGCTACTCATATTTGTGCTAGTCAAAAAAGGAATCAAAATGAAGTTTTGAAGTTTTCTTGAAGACCATGATAAAAGGAGCTCTCTTGTGTAATGAGAGTTATTTTTACTGATATCGTAAAATATTTTGTTTGCTTGTCCATGTTTATGTAAATGTGTATTTCTTTGCTGAAAAACTTATATGATGTTTTTGATGACATTTATTCCCACACGTAATTTATTGCTTATTTATTTCAGAGAGAGTATTTAGAAGACTGATGACTCATTGGTGATGTCTGAATATTACTGATGAGCTTGTGACAATAGAAATCAGTTTGGCCCAACTACTTTTTAAAGTTTGTTTTTTAATCTCTTAAAAAGTTTGAAGTTAAAACGGTGAAAATACCACACATTAAAAAATCTTTTTAAAAAAGGCTTATTTGGAAAGAGGTACAAACATTTTACTCTAGTTGGGATTTCAGATTAACTTTTTATTTTAGAAAGTTTTCTGTCTGACGGTGTGGCGTGATATGAGGAGACTTTGGCTATATGACGACAAGTATGCACAATGTTCATTCAGAAATTTGGATGAAGAATCATTCACTACAAAATTGTAAAATAATCTTTTTTGTCAATTTAATTAATGAAGTGGGTAAAGGACTATTTTAGTAGGCTCAAATTACATATGTAGGAAGATTTGTAAGAATAAATGCTTTGGCATTCTGTGGCCTAAAAGCAGACAGAACTATAATATAGCAAATAAAACTCCCCAGAATGTAGGCATCCAAGATTCAATTTCATTAAAAAAATTGGCAGTTAAAGAAAAGAAGGAAAAATGCTTATTAAATCAGGGCAACTATAAAATGTTGACAGATCTCAAGTTTCATATCCAAGTAGGCTCTTAGAAACTGCTGGGATGTTGGTGGAGTACGACTTATTCTGTCAAACCATTTTTCAAAGTTAATTATCTTTTCAGTACCCTCAAATTTAAACTTTAACTTCCTAGACAAATCATTTTCTTCTCTCTCTCTCTCCCTGCCCCTTCTTTCAGTCTCTACACCCCACTCCCCACCCCACAAAGTCTGTAAGCAGTCAGGTGAGGCTACTTGGTAGGGTTCAGAGAGACACCTAGGGGGTTTAATGTCTTCAGCCTCAGTGGTGGGACACTATCAATGGCACACATCGAATATACTGAGGAATATCTGTGCTCCCTCAAAACATTTGTCTTCTTTCTTTATCCAAGCCTCAGCGTCTTTTAAAGAGAGAAGCAAGTAGTGTCTATAGAAGGCAAAATAAATTGGAGAACCGAATTAATTATTTGCATAATTCGAGCACTGTTGCTCTCTATTCTTCCTAGCTACTCAGAAAAAAAAAAGAATGAAATTCAAATAATTTAGATTGGCTGTCTATCGTGATTAAATTTGTAAGACATCGACTAATTCTATAAGTTACTGCTTGATTCCTCATTGTACCAATGTTAACAGAGATGGATACACACACCTGAAAGACCGTCCAGTTGAGGTCATTATATGGGTTAAGATATTTACCCCAGATTTAAATAAAGAGAATTGAGGGGCTTGACTTGCCGGGTTTTGCTGAGTACATTGATTGAAGTTATTAGATAATTGTTCATCTTTCTACTTTGCCCATGAGAGGAGACACAGGCACATATTAGAAAATACTTTAAATTAATGTTAAATAGTCCAACTGGGATCACTAAAGTTATTTACATTTAGCAATAGATTAAAATGTTAGCATTATACGTTTATTGAATTAGGATCTTAGTTTCCTTGTATGCTCTGACTTGGAAACACTTGCTGAACAAATCTTCAAGGGTTTTTTCGGGAGGACGATTTTCTCAGTGTGATTTGATAGACTGAAAGGTACGGTCCCTTTACTTTCTGTGGGAATAAGAGAGGACAAGGTTAAGTATTGTAGGTGGTAATTAGGTTGTAGAATATTTTAAAGTAGTCTTTGGTAGAGTAGGATAAGATTGAGCATGATTTGGGTTTAGTCTAAGAACATTAGTAAACATTAATTACAGGCAGTTTTTAAAAAGATATCTAGTTGCAAATATTATTTTAAAAAGGCCACCTGGACTTTATATTAATAAGCTTTGCTGTCTTTCTCAAAAATTTCTGGAAAATTATGTCAGTTCATTTTGCATTCATCTAATTAAATAAGTTGAAATATTGTTCTAACACATAAAGCACGGATACTCTGACAATAAATAATAACGTGTGCTAGACAGGAAGAAAATACTGTTGATTTTATTTTTGCTGTAATTTCAGGAAAGAGTGGTTAAGTGAAAACTATGAGAAAATAATGCTTTATACTTATTTATGAAGTTGTTCTATTAT